TGTTCATGTGCCCCTCCATCATGTTGACAGCATCTGAAACATTGGACCTCATATTTTCGATAGTGGTTTCTTGTTTTTCCAGTGCTGCTAATTCCTCATTTGTTTTCTCTACATTGTTCTGGACTTTTTTTTTTTTAGTTCCTCCTGTTTTTTGTTTCTAGGTTTTTTTTTTAGTTCTTCCTGTTTTTTGTTTCTAGTATCCTGTAATTCTTCAAGTGTGTCTTTCATCCATTTAAAATATTCAATCATTTTTCTTTTAAATTCTGTGTCAGAAAGTTCCATAAGACTTTCTGCCTTCAGGAAAGCCATTGATAGTGTGTCACCCTTTTGGGGTGATATCTTGCTTTGTGCTTGTGTATTGTGTGGGACAACTTGCTTTCTTCGAGACATTGATATGTTCTCGATGAAGATAATGCTCTAGATATCAGTTTGGTAGCTATCGTACTTGTGCTTTTCTCTGAACATCTGACTCCAGGGAAATGTCAGTTCAGTTCCTTTGAGAGCAGCCTCTTGTAGGTAAGATAGGTCAAGGTGCTCCGGATTAAAGGCAGGTTGATTAACCAGATGTGTAGACACAAGTGTGGAGCCAAATAGGGAAGGGCATGCACGTGGTTGCGGCGTCACAAGGGCAGGTCAACCACTTGGGGTCCTCACTCAGGCCTCAGTTGTCTGGGTGTGCTTACAACCCACTGGTTTTCATTCACTGGTCCCTGTCCAGTGTTGCTCACGCAGTTGCCCTTGCACTGTGGCCCCTGCCCAGGAAGGCTCCTGGGTCAAGGGGACTCAACAAGACAAAGTCAAATTTCCACCAACCCACTCGCCTCTGGCTGGTCTGCAGTGTCCACAAAAGTTCCACCAAATTATCACTGGCCCGCTCTTTCCTGTGCAGTTGGGGTGCCCTGAGAGAGCTCAGCCAAATTCCCGCCAGTGGGCTCAACCTTGGGAACTCTCCCAGACAATAGGCGTTGCCCAAGAAAACCCAACTAGGATCCTACCAGCCTTTCTCGTGGCAGATCAGTCCCACAGCAGATTGATTGTTGGCTTTGGGTGATGGTTGTCTCCATGGTGTGCCTTTGTGTGCTGACTCAGAATTGTATTGTCCACAGCTGTTTTTGTGTTGCGTGAAGGAGTGGCCCTGGAGCACCGCCAGGGGGTGCAGGGTTGTGGGGAGGCCATCAGGGTGTGCCTCGCCAGGGGGCGCGGGATGGTGGTAGGATGGTGTCCCTGGACACAGTGCTGTGGCAGGGATGGGGGTGCAGGGCTTGGGAAGTGCTGGGAGTTAGGGGTTGCAGTCTGTTCCCATATATTAAGCTGCCAAGTTACCAGTCCTCAGCAAATAAGACTTACTGCACTGCTCCACTGGCGCACTGCATCGCTCTGCTGGTGCGCCGAGTCGCGTCGCTCTGCTTGCCTATTTTTTTTTTTTAATTTTTTTATTATTTTTACATGTACCAACAAATCAGAGCTGACTGGTACAGGAGGAGATTGCCCCCTCCTTTTCCAGCAGATCATCTGGTGGATTTGAACTGTGTACCTCTGGGATTCAAATTAATTATTTTAAAAAAAGACGAATTACAGAGGAAGAAATAAGACTCATGTAAGGTTGGCCATCTCATTGGGAAGAAGTTTGTAGGATTCTTTGAAACAGAACAGTCTCAGATGTCAGCAATAGAACTGGCTATTTAGACTCAAACTCATCATAGCATCAGATGATCATTAAGACTTCAGTCTTCTATGGAAGATATGCATCTGGCTTTAACCCTCAATAAGATGAATGAACACAGTAGCTTCAACAAAGGGTTTAAGCACAATTGTAGTTGTGATGATAGGACAGCACAGGGCAGGGTTTTCTTCTGTTTACGTGCAATCTGTGAGTTAAAAATGACTTAATGGCACCTAAGAACAACAAATGTCTCTCTTTTTCTGACCCTCCACCTTTCCTAGCATGATGTCTTTTTGTCAAAGACTGGTGCACTGTCTACCCCCTCACCTTCCCACAACGTGCCCAAAGTATAAGACCAAGTTTAACTCTCATTGCCAACCAGGAGTTCGCTGGTTGTACTTCCTCCAAGACATTGCTATTTGTTCTTGTAGCATTCCTTTGGATATTCAGTACTTCTCTAGCACCACAATTCAAATGCATCAGTTCTTCTGTCATCCACAACTCAAGATGAATTGACACTGTGATTATAACTCATGCATTATCAGTGATGGTAAGCAAGGTGCATGCTAGGGCAAGGTTCCTAACTGTTACTCATAGGCTTGCTGTGAGTCATAGTCAACTCAGTGGCATCTAATGACAAAAATAATAAGAACAGTAACAGATAACAAAATTGGGAAGGGTGTATGCCAGGGATGTGTCCCGTCTCCATACCTTTTCAACCTGTATGCAGAGCGGATTATCCGGGAGACTGGGCTCTATGAGGAGAA